ATTTTGCAATTAGGACTGCTTAATTATCTTATACGTCTGCGGTGAATTTTATTTCCGCCGTTCCTAGTTTTTCTTTTTTTCGACCATTTCCTGCGCCAATAAGTCAAGTGGAACCAGCCCAGATTTAACGAGTACTACATCCTCCAACACCTCTGTATGCAGCCCATACTCTAGCGCATTAAATTGATATGTTGAATTCATACTAAATTCATTCTTAAAATTCGAAGATCGTTTCAATGCATCGAACCAAACACTCACTCCGTACAGGAGTATTGATTTCACTATCCTAGCCGCTTCATTTGTCTGGACTGCTCCCTGGGTTCGCCAATATTTGCCATTTGTCTAGACAAGGGTTTTTCGCTATCGTAACTTTTCGTTGTCATATTTAAAATGTTCTCGGCCGTCGAGAGCATATTCTATCAATATCCTTGACGAACCATATCGATTTTGTGACACTCCCGTCTGCTGTTAGTTCCAACACTATTTACTTGCCGGAGACTGTTAGTGAGCGCAACTTCTTTGTTCGTGTGAGTTACGACCGTGGGATGCCTTGTACGTCGCCTTTCTCTACTGCCGTAATATGTAGTATTTCCACTTTCGCCGCTACTACGGCCAGCGTATTCCCTGTGACCACGATTAGGATTACCTGCTTAAATTATAAATGTATACTTAACAGGTTGTGGCGCTCCTTACTTGAAGCAAATATTACTAACATTAAGTTTTCCAACCATAGTTCCCAACACTACTAACTAATATCCAACCTTAAGTGAAGTGGTATGTTTTACTTATAAAAAGTAAATGTCATATTTACTTGTTGTATTTCTCTGACTCATACATTCTACTTCACTGGTTTAACCTTTGCTCCTAATTGTGGGTATATAACTTTGCCTTTGTTTGTGTTACCATTATTAGTTTTTGTTGTTTTTCTCACCCTTTGGCAAACTCAACACCGTCGGTAGTGAGTCATCTCAGCCGGTTGCTTAGCTTTCTTGTAATTTTCATTTGTTTGCGTGTGCGTATAAGTTTTCACATCACCATGTATAAATATTGTATTAACACTTTTTTTTTTATTTTCATAATCTCCTTTTAAAAAAAATCGCTTATCTTATTATACATACATACTTACTTACGCACATACTTATTTAGATTTCGAAAATTAGAGGGCGATTCATCTTTATAGAGCTCAAAATTTAGAACTCATTAAGTATTAACAGATTTACAACATACATATGTATGTATGTACTTGTATGTATTAACAGATCTAGGTATACATATATGTATTTAAGTATGTACGAGGGAAGGCTGAAAAGTTTTGAGCCTAAGATATTAAAATAGCTGATAGAAATGTATAAATAATTTTATTTTTCTATACAATCTCCCTCAACCTGAAATGCTCTTTTTACATTTGTCATAAAGAGCTTTTAACACAGTAAGAAAATACTCGCCGTCTGTCTTCGAAATGCTCGTCTACTGCTGCCTTCATTACTTCTTCGCTCGAAAATCTTCATCCTCGGAGGTTTCTATTCAAATTAGAGAACAGGATGTAATCGAAGAAGCCAGGTCTGGACCCTTACTCTGCAGTTCGAATCGAAAATTATAGGAGCGCATAATTCTTTTACAGTACCAATAGCTCGAATTCGAACAAATTTACTATCGATTCGAAGTACAGAGTGAGGGCCCTGGACTGTATGGTTGGGGGTTGATTTCCTCAAATCCAAGTTCGCCCAGGACACGCCTTGCAACCAGCGAAGTGTGCACGGGTGCATTGTTCCGCAAAAACGACGCACTATTGTCAACAATGTGTCATAATAATATTCGTCTATTGTAGCTTTTTTGTGGGGATAGTCGATGAACAGAATCATAATATCACTCAAACAAGTAAGAAAGTCTAAGTTCGGGCGGAGCCGAACATTAAATACCCGGCGCAAGTATTAAATATATGTTTTTTCACCCTTCCGAAACCTTCCGCTAG